AGGGCAACTTTGGATTGCAAATTTCATTACAAGTTGTCAGTTGCTGGGGCAAAGGGCAGCGAGGCAGCGGGGCAATGGGGCAAACGCAACGCCAGCGCAGCTTGCGGCTCAGCCCGGCTCGTTTCCTATGCGGCTGCGGCTTGGCGGAACTCGCGGCAGGGCAACTCTCATTGTAGAGGCACGTGTTACTCGCGCCTTGCTTTCGCGTGGACTGCACACTGATTTTTCCAGGGCTGACGCACAGTCAACCTACAAATTGTTAGCTGACTGTGAGCCGCAAGCGACTGCTCTGATTGCAATTGCTTCCGATCAGATGCTACTTGACATGGTCTGCTTCTGATTGGTGCAGAAATAGCTATTTTTTTTATTATTTTTCAGCTTTGCATTGTCAACTTAAAGGTCTTGAAGCAACCATTTAGAAGAACTTGAACTAAGTTTGATTTGAGTATATGTAAATGTTAGTTGTAAATATATTTTCATATATAATTTTAATATTATATATTTTTTGCTTTATTTCTATCTTATTTTTTTATTTGCACTTTTTTAAATTTTTCTTTTATTAATTATTGTGGTAATTATTATTTGTTATTATTTATATTATTATTATAAAAATTTATAATTTTGTATATATTTATTATTATTTTATTTTCTTAAGTTTAGTTTTTATTTTTTTTTTTTCAATTTTAATTTATTTTTTTAGTTTTACTTGATTTACATTTTTTCTTATTTTTTATGCTTTTTATTCTTAATGGAAAATCTTTTCTTAATTATTGATTTATTTATTTCTGAAATGTGCAAATTATTTAAAAATATTTTTATCTTGTATATATTTTTTTATTATATATTTTTAATCTTATATTAATATAACATATTTCGAACGGATCCGATTTTTTGCTTTATTTTTTATTTTTATTCACTTAGTTTTTAATAATTAAATTTCCATTATAATGCATATTGCTTGATCTGGAAAAAGTCTCCTTTATGCAGGTAGCCCTGCAATTTTTTGATGGCTACTGCTCAGTTTGCTTTCATACTTTTGCGTTTGGTATTTTATTTTATAGCCGTTGCCTTTTGCTGCGGTCGCTGATGAAGTGTATACACAAACACAGGCCAGCGCACACCCACACAGCAGTACACTCAAACACACACTCACACAAAGTGGTTCAGGCATGCCGTCACAGTGGCAACAGCGATGTCCTTTTAGCACATTCTGCCGCGTTTGCGGGGGCACGCCCCCAAACACAGGAGGCCAGAGACAACCCTCTCCAGTGGCCAAAAAAAAAATGGAGCAAGGGGCAGACAGCAGTAAACGCGGCTTTCGCTGCTTAAAAGCCATTTTTGCATTTTATATTTAATTTTTTTCTATATATATATATATATGTATATGTATGTAGACGTATATGTGTAGGTGTATGTGTGTAAGTGTGTGTGTGTTCACACCCACCAGTCGACAGCGCCCAGTGCCACGCGCCTCGCATTTTTGTGCGCCTTGTTTATTCTTTATCCTTTGGCACTGGTTTCTAGATTTTTTTCTCACTTTTTAGCTGTCGCGTTACCTCAGCATGCAAACATTTTGTAGCCATTTCCTGGCGTTGCTTTTTTTGTTTTTCGTGGATTTGGTTTTGGGTCCTGTTTCACTTTCATGGGCTTTGGCCGCCTCAGAGTCGGGGGAGGGGGGCTCATGCTGTCCATGTTCAACTTTTGGCTACTTTGTCGCATTTGCAATATTTATTGCGTTTTGATTATACAAACGAAAAGCAAAATTTAAAATGTTCAAGTTTTGGTGGTTTCTTTTACATTTATTTACTTAATTTTTTTGGCTATTTTTAACCGTGTGCCTTTTACACCTGCTCGACGTCTGTTGATGGACATTTAATGAGAATAGTGGCCAGGGCCATGGCATGGGATCGGCAATATTTACTAAAGGCCGGGCCTAAGTTCTTAATTGTATGCCCAAAGTTCAAGTTCGTCCTTTTGCTCAGCTGCTCGTTAGTTCTTGTCATTCGCCGCCCGAACTCTTGAGTGGTGTGCGTGTGTGTGTTTAGCCTCGGCTTGGCTCTGGCTTTAATGGGGGGCAAAGTTAACAAACTACAACTACAGCAACTGCATCTTTGCAACTTTGTTAACTTTGCTCAGCTCATTGGCGCTGAATCATTTGAGCAGTTGCTGGCTCTGCCGGTGCCACTTGCCACTTGCCAGTTGCCACTTACTTGCCATGGCATTCAGCTTTTGGTCCGCACTCGGAGTTTCAATTCTTTTTGTGCCCCGTGCCGTGATTGTAAACTTTCATTGATAATTTTAACTACTCCATGTAGCCATCCGGCTGTCCAGCGTGCCTCGGCTGGTGCTAAGCTCAAAAGACGCTTTTAGCACTTTACCAAGTTGCTCTTAGAGCATGGCTTTTCTTTAAATACCCTGGCACGTGGCCACGGCAGCGAGCATACCAGATTATACTGCTGCAACTGCCAACTGCTGCATCCACAACTAGAGCTGGAGTATCTGAGTGCCGATCATTTGGGCCAACTTTGATTAGTTTTTCATTAGAACTGCAGGATGGTATTGGGCAAAGTCTTGGCTTTGACTATCCGGCAAACCAATATTCCGTCTCCTTCCGATGCCCAACCAGTTTCCTGCATCAAGTGTTGCTTTTATGGCGGCAGCTTCACGAAGTTTACTTTTTCTTCTGCGTTTTTGTCTGGTTGTGCTTTTGCTACTTTTTGAATTTAATTTTTTTGATTAGCTACATTTTATGCCGTTGTTTTATGATTACTTTTCCCACTCTTATTTTAGGTTATTTTCACAGTTTTGTCTTTCGCTGCAGACGGCGACAATTTTTGTTCATTTTGTGTGCGAAAAGTTTTTGGCTTGATATCGTACGCGAAAACAAACTGCAACGCAGTCAAACAGACCGAAGCCCCCCTGCTATCCCCTCTCTACTTCCACTTCAGCGAAGTTAGAGATGCCAAGCGAGAGGAGCATCTGCCCTGGACCATTTCATTTCTTAATTTTATTGTGGCATTTACATGCAGCCCTTTACGAGCCTCAACATGCTTTACCCACTGACAAAGCGATTTTTAATGGAGCATACGAGCAACTAAATTTCCACAATTTACTCACTTAAATCTTAATTTAAATGAAGTCCCATTCACTCGGAGCTGTAATTTTAATTGCCCTTGTGAAGTGCATGCAACATTTAATTCTGAATTACATTTTATCCCTAAGATAAATATGTAGCCAGACGTCTGTTGACTTCGTGAATGAATTTATTCACAGTTTGAGAGCAGCTTAAAGATTTATGAAGTGCAAATAAAATGCCATAGTCTATGGAAAAGTCTCTTCCAGAGGGCACTGTTCGTGTGGGCATTTGAAGAGGATATTTCCTTATAGATATTATTTCTAGAGGGTATTTCTATAAAGAAGATACCTCTTTATAGAGGATATTTGTAGAGTGTAGCTCTGCGGAGAGGGGGTACTTCATTATAGAAGAGATAAAATCTATATATATTGAAGGTAAGGTTTTTAAACAGAGCATTTGATGAGGGTATCTCCTTATAGAGGACATTTTTTTGCAAAATTGTTTTCTCTTAAGAAACTATATGAAGAGGTCAATTTATTTTTTGAAGGTATTTATAGTAGATATTTCTTTATGGAAGGGTAAGCAAGAGACTAGTTGGGGAAGAGATTTTTGTGTAGAGGGTTTTCTGCAGGGTCCATAGAATTTAATCTAATTTCGTGGCAAAATATTTCACACAGAAAAATATCTTACTTTAAAGCAGTGCGAATACTGTTAAATGTTTAATATTTAATGATTATTTAATTAAATCTTTAAGTGAATTATCTTCCTATTGGCACAAATCTTCAAAGATTTTGCATCACTCAATCCAATCAGATTACTCTAATCGCCTATTCGGCGCAGAGCCACATTTCAGAGATATTTCCACTGCTATAATTGCCAAGCATTAGCATTAAATATAACATTAGTCATCTGCTATAGGAAATGCTTCCCTAACGAAAACAAAGCAAGCACCTTAAGTGAATTCAGTGAATAATTTAAGGCGGGAGCCTCATTCGTTGACTTTGATTCATATCGGTGCGATATCACGTTTTCGTGTAAATGTTCGCACACAGAGACATCAATTAAAGAGTTTGTAATCCGATTTGATAGTCGGATTTAACGAGTGCTCAACTGCTCGTTTATCTGAGTGCAAATTTCTGATTGCAATTAAACAGGCAATCGCAATATGAATCTCTTTGCATTAAAGTGCTCATAATTTTACTTTACGATTTTACATCGACTGAGCCGAGATCTTTTTGGGATAAGGAAAGAGCAGCAGCGGCAACATAGCTGCTTGCCACACTGCCACATCGTTGTGGCAGGGTCGAGGCTAACCAATTGGCGACCGTCTGCACTTGTAGATTTATGACGGACCTTCAGCCTGGCCGGGCAAACAGCAACAGCAACAGCAACTGAAACTGAAACTGTATTTGGTGCCGCTTGAATTTACTAGCAATTTGCGTTGCACATGCATATACGTATATATATATATAGACATATATATGAGTATTTATATATACACGCCATCGATATTGCCACTCACACACAGCAGTCAGATTTTTTGCACTTGTACGCGTATGTTTTATTGCCAGAGCCGCTTTGCGGTGAATTTATTGCCAAATTGTCGGCGGCTTTCGAAATATCGCGAATAATCGCGACTCGGACCCGCCCTGCCTCCTGGACCCAGTGGCTATAAAAAAGCCAAAAAAGAACTAAAAAAAGGAGATTACAGCAGCAACAACGTCGTCAATAATAAATTCATAATTTTCGCTTTTGCCTTAATAAATTTTTATTATTTTTTAATTCCTTTGCAAAAAATTGTACATAAAAATATGAAAAAAAAAATAAATAAAAAATAAAAATTGAAAATCACCTTTTAAAGCATAATAATACAATATAAGTAGTCACAAAAACTGAGAGCCTGTAATTACGCCAACCAGCAATCTCAGAAGCGGCCCCGGCGAGTTGGCAACGACGTCGCTTTGGGCAAGGAGCTGACGTAGTTGCCGCTGTTGCTGTAGGTGCTGGAGGTGCTTGAGGTGGAGCTGGGCTGTCGGAATGGCGGCTGCGCTGTCGTCTGCTGTCGCACCTCGTTTGACTCCTTCAGCATGGGCACCTCAATGGAACGCGGCAAATTGGGATAGACCTCAGGTGTGATGGCTGTTTTGGCGGCAAATTATAAGCGACAGAGCATGAGAGAGAGAAAAGACAAGCCTTTAGCTTTGACGCAAATACTTTTTATTTTTAATGTCTTTGCTGTTAAACAAATCAAATTGTATTCTGGCTTTAAGCTCTGACTAGAAGGCTAACATGTGAGTTCCCAAAAGCAATAAGCAGCAGAAATTCAATGTTTGACCATAAAAATATTGTTGCTTGTATAAAGTTGTGAAACCTTTCTAGCTATATTTTTATAGGTTTTTTTTTTGTATAGATCGATTGGCGTCAACTCTATCTTAAGAGCTATGACTCAAGTGCTCTATGCTCTCAAGCAAACCTAGTCATAATTCGTCTGTGTGACAAACTTGCTATGAAATCAGATTACAAAACTAGCTAAGTTTTTATAAGTTATAAAAATATATAAAAAAACATTAATGTCTCTTTAACACTAGTCAACAAAATTTGTTGAAATTTACTTATCAAGAATTTGGTATTGCCTTAGGCAATAGAGAATATGTTAATATTTGTATTAAGTCCAAGTAGTGTAAGACTAACGTTCTTCGAGCCTTCAATTTAGTACTTGAGGATGACAATCTAACCAAGACCCATAACAAAAAGTCATCCGATCTACGCTAAGTTTAAGATATAGCCAACTCAACTGAATATAAATTGTGTTGCATTTGCAGACTAAGAAACCACTTGAAGTTGATCACAAAACATCTACTGTTCGCTCAGCTGGCAAGGGCAACATTCTGGGATATCCATCTTTGCATTGCTTGACTTGACTACTTACATTGATTCTGCCTGTAGCCAAACTGATCCGCATTGTAGAAGACGGTGATGTAGCGGCCATCGGGCATGCGATAGGAGTAGTAGCCGACGACCATCAGCGTCTTCACCTCGTTGATGACGGCGAAGTAGCCGCGCTCGTAGCGTGCCGTGCCATCGTCCAGCTCGAAGCGGAACTCGTAGCTGCCGTCCGGATAGCGATGATTGAAGTGGTCGAGAAGACGGGCGCCTCTAGTCTCCGGCTCGTGGTATGCACCCAGAGCTGGCGCGGCTCTGCTCCGATCCACGAGCATGACAAGCAGCGCGAGCAGAAACATTTGGTATCTAGAGTCCTGGGCCATTGCGCGTGAGTGTGTGGGAGAGGAGAAGGTGTGAGTTGGCTGGTGGTTGGTGGTTGGCGGTTGGTGGCTGTGTTGTTGGTGTACGTGGTCTGCTGTCGCGTTGTTGTGTTAACTGTTTAATTCGGAAACTGCGTAACATTGCCTTTTTATAGCCGCTGCGACGATGCCAACTTCTGCGGCTGCGACGTCTGCGATGTCTGCTGCCTGCGTCGGCGAGCGCGGCAACAATTTACCAGCAGGGACGCGACTGCGGCCCAATTGGGATGATAGCGTCAGCTGCTGTTGCCGTTGCCGTTGCCGTTGCCGTTGGCGTCGAATCAAAGCAGAGCCGGCGACAGCGACGGCAACGTCAAAAATTCTCAACGCTTAATCAAAAAAATACGTAAGAAAAAAATCTTAATTTCATCTACTTGCACACGTGTGTGTTTGTGTGTGAGTGTTGCTGCTGCCCATGTTGCTGTCATGGGCGGAGCTGGGGGCGGTGCGGCGGAGCATCAGCAGGTTGCTAACTGGGCAATTAGGCTGCGCCCCTCTCTTGCCATGTTTGCTTTGCAATCCATTCGCGCCGCTGACAAATCGCCGTCGAAATTCATCCAACTACGCACACTGGATGCTTAAGCCAAATAATGTCAGTGCAAGATCTTTCATTTATATAGATTAAGATCTGTCAAGCTTAGGCAACGAACTCTATGCAGGATGTGAGCTTTCTACAGATCATTTTAGCTAATCAAATGGAAATCTGCTTTCAGAGCTGTTGAAATATTTATTTACTTAAGAAAATATTTTTCTTAGTTGTAAATATGAATTTAAAAAAAAAATAAACTAAAAAAAAATATTTTATATATATATTTTTTGTATTCAAAGAAGATATAAAAAAGAAATTAAATATATTTTTTTAAGAAAATTATTTATTAGTTATTAAATGATTTCTTTTTATTTAATAATATTTTTTATTATTATATGATAATTTTTTAACTTTTCCATTATAAATTATTTAAACTGAATTTAATATTAAAATATATATTTATATAAAATTAAGTAATTATATTAAATTTAATGATATAATTTATTTAATTAATGTAATTTTCTGACACAACAATTTCTAGCTTTGCCTTTGATAAAGTAATTTATGGAATTTATTAAAAATAAAACAACAATCGGCACCATTCGCTTTGAATGGGTGAATAAATTGATAATGAGTTCCACTGTTGCCGGGACGGTAGCTAAAAATACACCCTACAGTACACCCTACAATTTGTGCAACCTGTTCGAGTACGTGCCGTCGGCTGTGGCACAGCAGGACAGCGATGCAGCATCGGCAGACGCTTTAGGCTCAGGTTCATCTTCGCCTCCTATGGCCAATTAGGGCTAATTTATGATTTCAATCATTTCTTAATTGCATTTAATGTGCAACGATTTAGCCAACACAGCCAGCTATCAGCAGCAGGATGCATTTGCACTTGGTCACTCGGCCAAAGTTAATGAGGTTGGTCAGCACTTGGCCTGCACGCCCCTCATTTAGATACGATACATCAACAGGGTCTTATCGGCGATGAATTAATTTGCACACACGCACACACACACACACATACACTCATGCGCTTGAGGTCACAGCTTGGACAGCGACAGGCAGGGTCGTTGTGTGCTCTAAAAAAATGGCAGTGCAATTGTTGCCGTTGTCAGTGGGAGAAAATTTATAACGCTTCAAGTTCACTGTTAGTGTGACAGAGTCGCAGTCGCAGTCGCAGTCGCAGTCACAGTCACAGTCACAGTCACAGTTCACCAATTCGTTGACAGCGTCAGTAGCAGTCGTGACAGTGGCAGTGACAGCAACAGTGACAATGACAATGACAGTGACAGCAAACACCGGCAGCATGCAGTCAGTCAGTCACTCAGTCACTCAGTCATTCAGTCACTCAGTTAGTCAGTCAGCGAGTCAGCAAGTCACTACACTGGGTGTGGGTGAGAGTCGAAAGTGGTAACTGGCGTCGACATCCTGGCCAAGGCAATGACATGCTAAAAAAAAACTGATTTATTTATAAACGCAATTTATCGCTGACTCTGGCAAAAGATTTCGCTTTGCATTTGAACAAAGCCAAATGACCAAAGAGCCAAAAAGCCAACACAAATTAAAATACAAAGCGCAAAATGTTTGCCAAACTTGTTGCCTCGACAGCAGCAGCAGCAGCAGCAGCAGCCCATTGCTGACAACTGCGCCTGGCAAGGTCATTTGTTTCGTATGTCGATGACAAAGACAACGACCAACAAATCACAATGCGCCCCACTCTCCAGCAGCAGAAAAGATGTAAGAAACGACACGAAACGCGAGCAGCAGGCGACAGGGCAGATGTTGCTGATGTCGCACTGTTGGCGGCGTGACAGGAAGTGTTTCTTGGTACTGTGTCGATTGTTGTTGGAGCGCAGTTTGTCATTACCTGCATTCGGCGTTTATTTTTGGGCTCGCTGCTGCTGCTGCTGTTGCTCGGGTTAGCTGTGCGCTGCCTGCGTGTTTAGCCCAGTAGCCGCAGCCACATTGGCTTTGTAGGTGTTGTCCTTGTTCTTGTCAACGGCATCAGCGGCGTTTGCATTAAGCGCGTTACGTGCCCCAGCCTAGGACTGCACGCTATGCACAGTGTCTCAAAAACGCCAAAGTCCTGCACAAACTTGCAGTGTCGAACGTTAAGTTAGAAACCTTAAGGCCTCAAATTGATTTTTATGACACACTCAATTTACCTGCTCAAATACAAGGTATATATAATTAGAACACGCCGTTTGCACCTGCATATTCTGATTGGTGCAACGAATGCGCATGAAATTTCACATCACCTATTGAATTTGTATTTGTGGCCAACGCAATCGCATACATCATGCTGTCAGAAAGCCAAATACTCAACGTATCTCGTGTCAATGTGCGCACCAAAGAGCTTCAGTCAAAAAAAGGGGGAAAGCCCAAACTTAAAGATACCCTGTATAACAATATCCAGGCAGCTCTGGGAGGCATAACTAGTATAGCTAATATAACACTCGATTAAGCATGATTGAAAAAACTTTGGCGTCACATATTGCCTCGCCTAGTGTAACCTTCTGCTGGAGGCGCACTCAATAAGTACAGGGTATAGGAACGCGTAAAAAAGTTAACTCACAGATACACGTAAAGGCAGAAAGGCAGCTACAGATACAGATAGAGATTCGCAAACAGCAGAGATACAAAGACACGGAACACGGACGGACAGACAGACAGACGGACAGACGGACGGACGGACAGGCAGACGAATGGGCAAAGTTACACACAAATAATGCATAAAAGTAGCTTATAAAACAAAATTTGTATGAATGGTCCATGTAGCGCAGCTACGTGACATGACGTCTCGAGATTTAACTTGTTGTTTGCTCCAGCCAAAGTTGGCTCCGACGTCTGCGAATAACCAAGCAGCAGCAGAGCCGTCAGTGCCACTGCCACCACCGTAACCACCGACTGCGGCTGAGGCTGTTGCCGACTTTTTGTGGCTTTTGCCAGCTGCCTGTTGCCATCGTCTGTTTTTGGGTTTTTGGTCTCTGGGTCTGGGCACGGAAAATAATTCCCATCAAATCACGTCGCTCTTGCGGAACTCTTCAAAACTGATTCAGATTTCTGGCCGCCCTCAACAGCCGCAGTCCATTTATGTGCGAGAGCTTCATTTTTTATGATATGCCGAGCATCTCAAAACAATTTGCAAGACTTACGGTCGAGTTTCGTTTTTGGTGTCTTGCATAAATTATAAATGCCGCAAGCTCTGTAAGCACAAAATTCTTGTGCTGGCAAAAGGGGCTGCAGCCGAAACACCGAATGGCTATAATCTATATATGTTAGGTGTTTGCAGAGATTTATTGAGTAGACCGAAACACAATTGCCAATTGGCAATTATCAAAATGTGGTCAATTTGCTCCAACATGGCCACAGTCAATGTAGTCGGACGCATCTTTGAGATACAAGTGTTTGTACATGGCTGGTCGGGCATCGCACTTCATTAGGTCTCTGCACAGAAGCCAACCACTTACCACTCACCCACTCACCCACTCACCCACCCTCACACAAACACACACACAGCCACTTAGAGCATTGCAAACTAATCCAAGTCAATAAAATTTCTAACTATAAAAGCCTTTTGCTGCCGGGCACGGTCCGAGCTGGTTTTTAGACTCGCTGCGAAAGGGCTTTGGCCATAGCCAATTGCAGCTGAGGCTCCGGTTTTACATTCATTAAATGTACATTTTGTGGCTGCTTTTTGGGCGGCCAAAACCAAAAACACCTTGATTGCCAGCTCTGTGGTGTGTGCGGCGTCCAGCCATTTGCCAGCAATTGAAATTTACAAAAAGCCACATTATTAATCTCAAGATTAGATTGAGTGCGCTTCTGATAAGCGGCAGAAATGTTTATGATTCACTCGTAGTTCTACAGCTATCTAGGACGTGTCTGTTGGCCATCTGCTTAAAGCTCTAGCCACACAGCCAGAGAGATTCGTAAGTCAGGCACAAATTTATTTATTATGTACCTAAAATGTTTTTATTTTTGTTTTCTCTCAATTTCATTTCAAGTTCACGCCAGCTCAACTCGGAGCCGATTAAAAGATAATCACATTCATTCTAAATAACATTTCTAAATTCTACTCAAATACTTGAGATTGAAATATAAATAGAAATTTATGAGTTCTTACTATGTTCAAGAGTGTAACACTCTCTGCTATCTTTGATGTCTATGAAACGCCAACTTAAGCCAAAGCCGTAGCCATTACATAGACGTTTTATGTACTGAGATTAAGGCCCAAAACTGAGGCACATATTTAACAGTCAAGTCAGCTGACGCTGATCGCTTGACTGATTCAAGTTTTCTCATAAAGGGTTTAAATATATTTGGTAGAGTTTGCAGGCAGAAGGGATCGATTAGCGCATGTAGCTAAGAAGGTCTTTGGTATTCGATATATCGTATAGCACAAATATGTTTAGCAAGTTGAATGTGAAAGTAAAAGATAAAGTTTGTATTAAAATCAAGTATAACATAAAGATAAATCAAGCTTATTAAACATATCATACAGATATATCAAGCCGGGTATATTGAAGTCAGTCATGCCTGGCACCGTAAGTACATATATCAAATATATCATGCAGATATACCATGTCGGGTATGTTCAAGTCAGGCATGCCTGCCTCGAGAAAATCCCACGTACGCAGCACTGACGATGTCTGAATCTAAATCTAATCTCTGTTTGGCTGCATAGCTTTGGTAGGGGTATAGAGCAGCTGGGCATCATTTGATTTGGACACGTCAATTAAAGCTATTACTCAATTTATTATTTATTTGTGGGCCAATGGGCCATTCGTTTATGGACTTCTCCAATGCGGCTCGCTTTCTCTATCCCTGGGCAAGTTCAATGTGGCGCTGGGGAATCGAATCCACACGGATATTGACAACGAAAAAAAAAAGGAAAAATAAAAAATTGAATTCATTGTGAATGCTTCCTGCATTATATTGAAGCCTTGTTGAGCCACCATGAAGATAGATTAATGATGGGGCTAAGCATTCAACTGGAAATGGATTTCAGCATGTGCTTATGCATATGTCTGTTAGTGACCCACACAGACCCACAGACTCGCACACACACACTGGCTCTCATTAATCGCCCGAATCCCCTAGCTGTAACCAACCCAAATCACAATGCGACTTGACTTGGTCCGATCCTTTGCGACCCTATCACATTTATAAATAGCAACAAGTGCTCGCCCCTCGCCAAGTATTTAAATCATATACAAATGTTTTGTTGACTCGTCTGCCGGGTTTATTGAACCCCAAATGGGTTTCCATCTATTCCATTGTTGACTCTTTGCTTGATACAACAAACGGGTTTTTATATTTAGATTTGCCTTTGAGCAGAGCTAATTGGCATAATTATAGCGCTGGATAGAGACATTCTTATATGAATATGTAACAATTGTTGCTATAAATCTGTATATATACATATATATATACGAATGCTGTATAACTTCTAAGGAACTTTTAATTTTTCACATACTTTGGGCGCTTCACTAACTCCTGAACCTAATACGAAAATGCCATTTTCCCCTAACAAACTTACTTTAAATAGTTTTCCAGCTTTTAAAGGGAATTTCACACTCCAAACTGGGTGTGCGTGTGGATTCAGTCTCACTGGGCATATATGTCTGTCTGTCTGGAAGCGGCAAGGGACTACAATGGGCATGCACTGCATCATTATCATCTTAATTATCAGCATCGTTATAAGGGCGTGTATAGCTCGTATTGTCACCATCTGCCAGAGCCAGCATGTGACTACTTGTCTGCACTTAGAAACTTTTTAGCCACACGCACACACACAAGGCAAATGTCAAACATTAAAAGTTGTTGATCGACTAGTAAATACTATGTAATCATAAGCTGCTCAGGGCCGAAGGGCCATGCTCCAAGTAGAGTATATGTTGCATATATATGTGCTATACAATCTGCCTCGAGTTAGATATTTGTTGCAGCTATTCCGTAACCAAATATAGATTAGCTAATTGTCTTGCCTGCAGCATGGCCTGCTGCAAGGCGTTTGCTGTGTTGCAACAGATTGACATGGCTGCCACAAAGACAACAAGAAATTGCACATCAACGCCATTCGCATCGCAAATCGTTTGAGTTTAGCAAGCATTTCTCATAATTTTACCACATTCTGCATCCGTTCGTAATTTGTAGCGCTTTGTGAGGAGGCAAACAGCTTGAATGCAGACATACATACATGTATTTGGATATGTTCGTAGGTGGGTGGAGTGTGTTTTGGGCAAAGCCCGCACCTTGAATTCCCGCCTGGTGCCTGACAACTTTGAAGACTGCGGCTGTGGCAGCAGCAGCAGCGGCTTCATTTGTGCAATTAGAATTCAAACCGTATAAAGAACAAACTGCGCTTTTTATGCCACCCAAAAAAGGCAGTTGCATAAAAGCCAAAAGACGCCTTGGGCCACATGCATTCATGTATTCATTCATTCAGTCACTCAGTCAGTCAGTCACTCAGTCACTCAGTCATTCACACTCGTTGTGTCGCCAGCGCCGGTTTCAGTTTCAGGCTGTGCTCATTCATTAGATGGCCATGGAGGCCGACTCGTAAATAAAACTGTATCCCGCATCGGATTAGTAGCTGAAATGAATAGCTGCAACTGCAGCCGCAGCTGCAGCCTCAGCCTCAGCCTCAGCCTCAGCCTCAGCTTTTGCTTACAGGTTTTTGGGCAGAGCCTTTGCTGTTATAGCTTCGTGTGCATTTTACGAGCAGCCCCAATCTCCAAAGGCTGCTCGACATAAAAACTATGACAAAGGTGGGCGGCGAGCTCTGACTGTCACAGATACTGCTGCTGCTGCTGCTGCTGCTGCTCCTTTTGCTTGTTAGCTTCTCAGTCAGTTTTATGAATGCTCACCGATTTGCTGCTGACAATCTGTCCGCTGGCGTTGTCTTTCAACAAAGCCGACAGTAGAGACCGGCGAACTATTCTCACAGCGCTGGCATTTGAATGCTCCAAAGTAAGTATGGCAGATGGTCTTTGTCTGTCGTGTTTAGGCCAGCAAATGATGTTATTAAGGCATCCCTTAATTGAATAGTGTGGTCGACAAATTTCTGTTTGGCTTTGATTGTGGTCCCAAACGGACTGCGTTTGCAACAGCCAGATCGAGTTGCTGTCTCCTCCGCCTCCTCCTCCACTGCCTTTTATCCCAACAACTACCACATGCCACATGCTCCATGCTAATTATATTCATTTGGGGCCAAGTCAAGTCATCTCTAGCCAAAAAATGCAGTTAGGCCAACGACAAAGCAGCTACGGATTGTGATACGAATGCAACTAATATAACATATGCAATGCCAGATGTCCACATGAATGACCTAGTTTATATGAAGTTAGTTTGTTTACCTGCAGAAATGGGCTGCCTTTGTTATTTGATTATAATTATGCCGCTTCAGCACAACTCAACCTACACCATTAAGACAACAGCAGGATATTCAATTTGCCATAATAATATTATTTCAAGTCAATGAACTTCAAGCCACCTGACGTGGGCTTGTCGGGATACTCGAGAAATAACGGCATAAATTCATTAGCTTAAATATAATATTATGTAATTTAACAACTATTCATCTAGTCTCTAGTCTCTAGTCTCTAGTCTCTAGTCTCTAGTCTCTAGTCTCTAGTCTCTAGTCTCTAGTCTCTAGTCTCTAGTCTCTAGTCTCTAGTCTCTAGTCTCTAGTCTCTAGTCTCTAGTCTCTAGTCTCTAGTCTCTAGTCTCTAGTCTCTAGTCTCTAGTCTCTAGTCTCTAGTCTCTAGTCTCTAGTCTCTAGTCTCTAGTCTCTAGTCTCTATTCTCTAGTCTCTAGTCTCTAGTCTCTAGTCTCTAGTCTCTAGTCTCTAGTCTCTAGTCTCTAGTCTCTAGTCTCTAGTCTCTAGTCTCTAGTCTCTAGTCTCTCTCTAGTTTTTCTCACTAGTCTCTTTCAAAATCAATTTAAGAACTTTTGAATAATTGAATTGAAAAATTGTGTAAATAAAGAAAACGAAGGAAAACACATATTGAATGTGCATGGGCAAAATGGAAATATTTGAAATAATTTTTATTATATTTATTTCGCTTAAATCGAATTTGAAGTCTGTCTAAGCTGATGCTGATGCTGATGCTGATGCTGATGCAGATGTCGCTGTTGATGCGGGCGTAATGTGAGCAATTGATGATGTGTATCGTTGTTGACTTGGTTTCTTATATTTGTTATTGTTGTTGTTGTATGCTGAGTCTGAGTTTCGGTTGCTGGTCCTGATGTCTTTCGATCTCTCGGTCTGGTAAATTGTGTTACGGAGCAGCCCAGCCAAAAATGATTGTGAGCAGAGGCAGGTCAGCTGTAGCTCTATGAGCAGCATTCAATGATGTCTCGATGCTGCGGCAATTGTTACAATTTGATTTGGAGCAACTGAAGCCTGGCGGTGGAGCGCTGCAAAGCGAAATGCCCCCCGAGTCTGTGGCAACTGCCACTGGAGCGGATCCAGCTGCACACGTGCAGCTATTTGTTGTCACTTTGCCATGCCACGCAGACGACCAAGTTGCCACTGCTCCTCCTTCGTTCTTCTCAACATCCGCATCCTCTTCATTCTCCTGCTCATACTCATCCTTATATGCGTTCACATTTACGCCCTCGTTTTCAGCTAGCATTCAGTTTGCATTGATGCTACTGGCTGCGACATCATCAGCAGCATCATCATCATCATTGGCATTGTCATCATCATCAGCTGCTGCTGTGCCAACTTTAGCTGTGGCCATAGCTGAGGGCTTGGCTTGGCTTTGGCTGTGGCTCTGCAATTGTAACATATTTTTTTTTTTTTCGGTTTACAGTAAAGGAAACGACAGTGGTTGAACCACCGTGGCGGCCACTTACCGTTGCCGGCAGGCGGACATCAGTTACTGTTTGACCTTTGGCTGTGCCAACGCTGCTGCCGTTGCTGCTGCTGAACATGAACATGGCCTCAGCATCTGGATGCTGCTCGAGCTGCTCATCGTTACGCTCTGGCACGCTTATTGAATTTCGCTTAGCTGCTGGCGTTGACTTCATGCCTGCCACATCATGGGGCACATCGAGGCTGCGTGGCAGCAATGGCTGCTCGCCGGATAATGTGTCTGCGTTTTGGGCATAAAATTTTACACTCTGTCGCACAGGAAAGCGCCAATCCGACCCACAGCCTGCAGCCAGCCACATTACTTACGCATATCCACATGGTAGCCCCGATCATCGGCACTGTAAAAGACGGTCGAGTACTGTGCGTTGGGCAGCGGCACCGAGTAGTAGCCCCGACGCGCCAGCACATGGCCCTTGCCCACGGGCAGCCAATAAGTGCGCTCATAGCGTGTGTCCCCGTTGCCCAGCTGGTATCTGCGAGAGTCTATGCTAATTAAATGGGCAGCTACAGTTGGCCAACGTCAATAACCTGTACTCGTGCTCGCCATTCAAAGAGCGTTGATCGAAGCTCTCAATTAAGCCTTCGATATCCGGGGCGAACTGTTCCGGTTGCAGGGCAACCAATGGCGGCTGATGTCGGTCAATCGTTGACATTGCTGTGGTCCTGGTGCCCCTGGTGGTCCTGGTGCTCCTGGTGGTGGTGGTGCGTCTCGGCTGTATTGTCCAGCGTGCCTCGCCAGCGCACAGACTGATACCCAGCAGCAGCAGCAGCTGCAGGCACTTTTCGATCGTTGGGGCACGCAACATTCTCGCTCAATAATTGATTACTTGGCCAGACGGCTGTCGGCCTTTTATACCACTCGAGAGCGAAGCCTTTCTTTTCCTTTTGGCCAAATGTGCTGAAGAAGAAGCAGAGCAAAACATAATAAACTCGCACGTCAGTGCCAATGACTTGCCACTCAACCCCCGCAGCTTTAATCCCCCAAATCTCTCCCTCCAAGTATCGTGATATTGACAGTGCCCTGGACTTTGTGATTTTGATTTTTGCTCCAAAACCGAATCTGAATCTGAATCCGAATCCGAATTGTGCTGCACTGTGTGTGTGTGTGTTTTTTTATTTCTTATGCCGTCGCCACTGGCTGTGGTAGGTGTCAGGCACAGCCACAGCTTCACCAGGACCCACGGTTCATTGACCAGGCCAACAGCTGCCGCTGTCCGTTAACTGTGCCCAACCGATGTGGGCGTCCGTTTCTTTCACTTCTTTTACTTCGTCATTCATTTCTTCAATGTTCTGTTTAACACTTGCCCATGTCCTTGACAATGGGCAGAGCGGCTCGGCTGTTGCCTGATAAATGTCTGGCAGCCGCAGCACTTAATGTTGCCTCAATCATCTCCATTGGTCTTGTTATCGATGGCCATTGTATTTAATCGTTGACTGCACAAAAAACGGCGTTTGCAAGTAAATGATTTTTTCCTTTACTTTTTGTTTTCTTTTGGCTTTCCAATTCAAATGTGGGCAGAGCTAACTATATGATTATATAGGATGTCTGAATTTTATTGATGCCTCTCTTCGTGTAATTAAAATGAATTTTTAATAAATAAAATAGATAAAATCATATTTAAATATTAATGTCACTAAATTTACTATCAACTGAAGCTCGTTTCATGGATATTAAAAATACTTTTGTATATAATATTATAATTTAAACATGTAAGGCTCTAAAAAAAACTTGCAATAAATTTATTTTCTTATAAATCAAAAAATTACTGAAACTAGTTGAAAATTATTGCATTGCATAATTGAAGGCTTGACTTAATAGCATCTGTCTCTCCAAGCATGCTCTCAAGTGGCTTATTTCTCAATTTGAGTCACTGAAATTGATTTAATTGAGCCTTAATTGTTTCGGCTAAGTGGCTTTCGTCATAAATAATTGATTGACATAATTAGGCCAAAGGAACGTTCAAAATATATTTACAGCTTAAATGTTGTAAATAAATGGAGCAGTGCGTGTCGCCTTCGCCTGCCACTAACTCCCACTCTCTCTCTCCCTCTGCCTCCCTCTCTGCGCGTAGGTGTCAAGTGGAACAGTTCTCGGGCTGAGCCGCTGGCCATTAAGCGACTGCAATTAGCAGCCAACAGCAGTCGACAGTCGGACACTTGGCCAGATTAAAGTCCGCTTGTCAAACTGAAAGCGCAATTAATAAATTTAAGCGTTTATTCCGTTGAATTTTGACAGCCCGCTGTCCCGTTAGCTCGCCAAGATGAAGCACTCAGTTAGGGCTTTTAATGCGGCACACTTGACCAGAACAGAGCAGCGTAACAGCCAACAACAACAACAGCTGAGAACACTGCAGTTGGCAGCTAGCGACTGCCTGATACTCGCTCACGCAGCATCTAAACTACAGCAGATCAGCTGGGATCCAAATGAGCTTAGCTCTGCAAAAGGAAGGTATATACATTTGGAGACGTGTTTAATTGACCACGCCTGCAAGAGACGTAATTACATAATTATTGATTATACTTTAGACGGCCTTAACAGTTACTCAATGCGTCATCTTTCGAACTGCAGAACTGTAGAAAGTATAGTTTAAGTTGTTATAGCATTATCTATAGAGTTTGTTCAGGAGAGAGATATATATTTCTAATTCCTGGTTGCTCAGAAGATATAATAAAGGACAAAGGACTCATACAAACAAATCTTAATACTTTACAGAGATATATAATATATTAGCTATATCAGGTCTCTCTACAGACGGATAGACAGAAAACTAATAGACTCGTCTCAGATCGTGAGCGAGTATTACAACTTTCGCGCAACTGCAAATGCAGTGCAATAAAAAATGAATTCAAATGGCGATGCGGCCGCCAACTGCAGCTGCAAATCCGTTGTCAACACACACACACACACACACAGTGCCACCCACACACACACTCACCACACACACTTCTACGCAAAACAACAAACTAATAAATATTTTTACCCATATAAGCATAAAATATTGTTTCAAGTTTACTGTGCGGCCGTATACATAGGAGATCCATAGCTGGGACAGCTGCCTAGCACCCCATACACACACTCTTGCTCTGCCTCTCTCTTTCTAGTGGCCAGACCGAAATGGAAACTCAGCTTGTTTGTGCTCTGGCATTTTGTACAATATTTCATTTGCCAGCATTTCCGTGCAGCGTTCCCAACTGCCAAGCAGCGCGACCTAAACCTAACCTAAAAAAAAAAAACAACGAGAACCTCGAACCCAACGCAATGGCACACTTCGGGCTGGGCAGCCCCACGTTGGCATGTGCAAGTGTCTGAGCCATGAATTTATATTGGTCGATTTCGATTTGAAAGTATTTCGGTTACATAATCTCAGCATTTTTATCGCATTCCATGCCATGTCGACACACTGTTTGATCCTGCAGCGCCACAACAAAGTCCAAAAGTTGTCGACTCGGGTCAGCAGTCCGACTAAACATATTAAGAGTCATGCCACTGCATGGCTCTCTATACAATATATGCCTCGTCCTGGCGCCGCCTCCTGCTGCCTTGTGCGGCCATGTCTTGGTGTAAATTGCTCAATTATAGGCCAAGCGACGCATCTGCGCGTTTGCTTCACTCTGTCTAACTGCCTGTCTAACTGTCTGTCCATCTGTCTGTTTGTCTGTCTCTTTGTCTGTTTGTTTGCCTGAAAGTTTGTTGCAAAATTCGCATCAACTTGATTACTGCATGATTCCCACTGCAAAGTTGGATGACAACTTGAGTTATTTACTTGTTTGCGTAAAAATTTGCGCATCAGTCAAACACTTTTTAGTCAAACAAAAAAAAACAGAGCAACAACAACGACGACATTTGATACTCTACATGGAGTAGAGACTCTAGATGGTATAAATGTTTCGCATTTAGCCCAAAACCCGGACAGGGACATGGCCATGAGTTGTCAGTTGACAATTGCCTCGACACCAGACAGCAGCAAGAGAGGCACACACAGACACAGAAACAGAGACAGAGAGAGAGAGAGAGACAGAGAGAGAGATTACTAAGCTTCAGTCAATGCATTTCAATTTGGGTCTTCGGAAACAACTGAAATCAACACGTGGAATTACTTAGCAGCTTCGTTTCTTTTGCTATGCAAGAGCCAATGGGAGTCAATAAAGCCGTATACTCTGCTTACATTGATAGATCTGCTTAGAGTTTCTATTGTATAGATGAATTTAAGAGTCACTCGCTCTCTCTCACTATGAAGGTGGGAACTAAACTTTGAAGTTGACAAGTTTCAACAAATATCGATTTTTGCTGGTGTTCAGAATTCAGAATTAGGCTAGCAGAGCTGGGGCATGAATCGTGAAGCATCTTCGATTTGGCTTAATCAATTGACGCATTAACGAGTCGATTATGTGTAATGCAGCTGTGCATGATATAGTGAAACGTGATACAGATCTATTTATTTATTTATATCTCATTATTGTATTTATTTGTTTCTCTCTTTCACTCTGTCTTTCTCTGTATGTATCTCCTCTTCTTCTTCCAATCTCCCTCTTTTTCTCTCTCCTTCTCTCTATGTGTCTTTCTTCTGTGTCTTCCCTTTCTTTCCTTCTATTTCCCTCTCTTACTCTCCCTCTCACACTCTTGTAATCTCTCCCTCTCTCACTGTCCATTTCTACTCTCTCTATCTCTTACACCCTCTCTCTCGCTCTTCCTCTTTCTCTCTCATTTTCACGCATTATCTTAATCTCACCTCTATTTTTCTCTCTCTATCTCTCTCCCTTTATTTCTCTTTCTCTTATTTCTATCTCTCTCTCGCTTTTTCTCTCTCTATCTCACTCTCTCTCTCTCGCTCTTCGTCTTGCTCTCTAAATATCTTCCATCCTCTCTCTAGCTCTACTTCTTTCTCTTGCTCTCGCTCTCTCACTTTCACTCTTCTTCTCTCTCTCTCCCTCTCTATTTCCCATTCACTCTTTTGATGAGATATTTTTGACAGCACCTTATATATATATATATATATATAGCCGGAAAACGTGAGCCAAGTGAACCAGTTTTCTTTTATTGTTTTGTGTGTGTTTGACTGTTTATCTGCGGGACGGCCCCACGCGCGATACATGCAAACAGACGACAATGGGATGCTGTTACTTGTGAAATAAACAAAACTTGCGGCGATACTCGCCACAAAACTTGACGCTCGTCTGTTGATTTAGGCAAATTTATATTTAAACAACAACAATAACAAGCAGGAATAGCAAGAGCCAAAGCGAGAGCGAGAGCAACAACAATATTGACAATAGAATAGCGGATGTGACTTCCCCCTTGCGCCGAAAGACAATTGCTTAAAATTTTTGGAGTCGACAGCGGATTCGGTTGCGGGCCCAACAAAAGGCGCCTCATCAACGCAACCAGCAACAATGACAGCTAACAAACCGTTAAGTGCCGCAACAAATCGCCAAAAATTGAAAACTGTGGGAATACACACGACGCCAGACGCCGGCCTCAACGCAGCCCAGCACAGTGAGAGACACCAAGCGCGGCGACGCACCCACACAAAGGCAGATAGAAATCTCGGGCTCCCAAAACAAAACACAATAAAAAACAAGAAACCAAAAAACAAAAAAACAAACTCAAAAAATAAAATTAAAGAACATACAATCTACAGTCACCAGAAGGCAATAAAAACAAATAAAAAGTATTTTAAAATGCCATTTGAATTAAACTGGAAACAGCTCCAGAGGACGGGACGCCAGGCGACGAGGAAGCCAAGTCTAGAGTTTGCAAATTGCATTTCCCTGCATGAGTAAAACGTAAGCTTATAAAAATAAATATAAATAAATACAATTCTGTAATTTGACTAGCTAATAAACATGCTTACAAGCTAAGCTGGCCATGTTCCGTCAGAGCACTTTCAGCTGTTCGCTGTTTGCTAGCAGCTCTAAATAATAATGGCTAAGCTAAAGTTTTAAATGAAAAACAAGTGAGAATAAGAGTCGTGAGGGAAGTATCCGACTAGAAGATAGCCTGACACCTAACAAAGAGCTGCTAGGAAGATCATGAAAGACTTTCTTTTAGACGTACGGAAAGAGATGGTGAGAGAGACAGAAGGAGGAACAGAAAGAACAAGAGAAAGAGGGAGAGAGAAAGAGAGAGAGATAGAAAGAGAGAGAGATAAAGTGATAGGTAAGGGAGAGAGAGACTACCAACAACATTCAGCTAGGAAGAGAGAGAGAGAGAGAGAGAGATATCTGAGAGAGAGTGGAGATAGAAAGGAGTCAGATCACTTAAGGCGCGACTCGAATGAAATATGCCACCAAACTATCTAGATATATTAAAATAAATATATTAAGCTTTTCAATACATTCTTCATCTATATAAAACTCAGCTCAGCTCAGAATAGATAGTGTCAGAATGCTTAAGAACAAAACTGCTCAATAAGTGTCCTTTACAGGTGTTTCATTTTATTACGTGCACAAAAAAAGGTAGAGCAGAGCTCGTTATACATTGATAGCTAATGTTACTCTCTGATCGATATTCTTGTTATCGATCATTATCGACTCAAGTTCAAGCAGCTCACATTGGGCAGCTCATAGCGACGCACTCGTGGCGGCTGCTGTAGATACTCCACTGCATGAAAGAAGATAAATAGAAAATTAAAAGTATATATATAGAAGAGATATATATGTTATAGGGTAACACACCTGCCAGCGGGTGATAACCATGGGCATCGGCGCGATAGCAGCGCAGCTCGTACTGTATGCTGTGACCGTAGTGCCGTGGCTGGGCGTAGAAGCCTTCGACCACCAGACCATGGTGCTGTTGCTCTGAGAAGAAGCCGCGCTCCCAGCGGCGTACGCCATTTGGCAGCGAGTAGCTGTTGGAAGTGGTTGGCAGTGGTTTAGAGCGGTTGCGGGTGGTGCCTTGGCTGCTGACTCACCCAAAAACGTAGCTGCCATCCTCGTTGCGGTCGTTGAAGTTGTCGCGATATGGATTGTAGTCCTGCTGCGGCACCTGCTGTGCCACCTGCTGTGGCACCTGCTGCGGCACCTGCTCTGGTTCCTGTGCTGGGCCCGTGTCTGTGTCCGTATCTGTGTCCGCATCTGTGTCCGTATCTGTGTCCGCATCTGTGTCCGCATCTGTATTTGTATCCGGGTCGTTGTCTGTCTCTTCGCTGTCCTCTCCGCTGAATTCGTCAGATTCAGCTGAGTCAGCGAAGAGCTGGGCAGCATCCGTGGCGGATCTTGGCGCCACAATGCCCGGCTGTCGGCGGCTCAGCACGGCGAGTGGTGCAGCTGTCAGTGGCGCCACAGCGTTGGTCAGCTGCTGTCCCAGCAGCTGCCTTAGCTGCTCGCCTGTGCCGGCATCGTCTTCGTCCGCCTCGTTGCCATCGAATGTCTCGAAGCTCTCGGCAAAGCGCAGGCTGGGCGCTAGCAGCTGCCGCGTGGGCAGCGTCAAGCTCTGAGCGAATGTGGCTGCTATGCAGCCAAAGCTGATGAACAGCAGCAGCAGCAACGGCGGCTGCCCGGACATAGTGCTGAGCTCTATGGAAGAATAGGATGTGGGCAGGCGGAAGCGTAAGTGTCTAGTCCAGTGGTGCGGTCAGCGTTGAATGCGCTTGCCCACAACCAGTTGCAACACATTTATATGAAGCCATCAGTGAGCTCGAGGCGTTTTGCAATCTGCAACAAATCAGCGGAGCAAATGCATAAATTTCTATTGGTCCGCTGCCAGGTGACATGAGATGTGAGTTTAATTAGCAGCCGCATTGAAATCGACTGGGGTCGAGTGAAACACACAGAGCGAGTCATCGATGACGTCTATGGCACAGTTGACATATCTCAGCCGCAAAGTTTGCCAAATTGAAATGCCGAGAAATTATGCGACTGGTTTTTGATGCCGAGCTGGACGTAAAGGCTGCGCCTCGCAGTGGCCGTCGATAAACATTCTCAAGCATTGAGCGTTGGCTAATTAGGTCAGCTAACCGACCGGTTCTTCACTTGCCCGTTGCTCAGGTGCGGCACTTAATCAGTTCATTAAGTCTACTTTGCGGCAGCGCAGCCGTTGCTCGAATTATGTTGCATAGTTTTAGACATGCTACGGATCTGGCAGTTTCTCTCCATTTAAGCCTGGCCACTGCGACTAAGCTTCTTGCTTGGAGAGCCTCAGTGTAGCCTGGCAGCTTGGCAGGCATATTTCCCATTAAGATTTGCTTAAATTCATATTTTAGTACACATATTGTGAGTTGATTTCCATTTGCCTAATTGCATTTGACTTGTAGACGGAGTCAGATATCAAATTGGCGCTTTCCATCTGGCCAGAAAGCATTTTGCACTTTCGCATACCATTTGCTGACCCATTAGAGGTGAGCGTAATAAAAACGACGTATACGTAATTTGGTTGTGTGTGGCGGGTGTGGCTTTACTTTATCTCAATTTACATTTAACCGTTTGCAATTATTAGAGTGAAGGCAGGCGAGACAGTGTGTGTGTGTGGGTGTGCGTGTGTGAGCAGGGAAGATGACGCTGATTGTCGGTTTATACAAGGACTGGCACGTTTGCCCGCAGCGATTTGTCATGCATCATTCATACGCTTGCCGTGTTAATTATGCTGAAATACGGTCTGTTAAAGTTTCAGCAGCCACGGCTGGTTGGCATCCTCAACCACTTATGCCGCATGAGTCCCTGCGACCCGCCTCCTGCCAGAGCAATCACCTACTGCGACTGCGACTGTTGCTGCTGTGGTAAAACGTAATTAATGAAGGCGCACTTAAATCATTTTTGTGCGTGGGCGGTTTCCACTAACACGAAACGCGACAAAAGCATCCGCAACAACAACAGCAAAAAGGGACTTAAAAAAATACAATTAGTTAACTAACAAGTGGGAATGGAACCAACAGACATCACATAAAAACAAAACAACAAAAAATTTCATACAAGGACAGAGCTCTGAATTGCTAAATGATCAGCCCACAGATGCCCTGCATGCTGCATATAGCTGAATACCCTGTAAATGAGGGTCAAGTGTGAACAAGGCTGCACATGAAACTGGAATCGAAATTACATTTAGGACAAATTGACGAGTTTATAAGAAATTACTAAATTAAATTCAATAAAATAAAAATATGCATAAAATTCAATTTAAAATTCATTCAAAAGGCATACAAATAAATAAATATTTTTTTACTGAATGAATATTTCAATAAAAATGCGAAACAAATTAAATATTTATAATAAAAACAAATAAAATAATAGCACAAGTTAAAAAGAATTATCAGTAATTTAATAAAGAAAATATAGTCTAAAAATATGAATTATATATATATAAATATTTTAATAAAAAAAGTTGAAATAAAATATAAAATTGAATATATAAAATCTATTAAAATATAAATAAAATAAATATGTAATAAAACTATATGAAAAATAAATCAAGAATTAAATGAAGAAAACAAAGTATAAAAATATAAATCATTATTTAAAAAAAAAGATTATTTAATTATTCTTTAATTTGCATTGAAAAGTTAGAAATTAGCTGGGCATACCCGCTGCATGCGTTAAGGCGCAGGGTATGAAAGGGAACAAATCCGGCAAAGGGCCACCAGGCTGCGCGCTAAAACGTTTCAATTTTTCATAAATATTCAAAAAGGTAGCTAACACTGGCAACAACAACAGCAACAACAATGTGACAACAACAGCTGCTGCTGCTGCTGCTGCTATTGCTGATGTTGCAGAAGCTCCGTTTTTGGCTGTTGCTGCTATTCAGAGCAATGTGGAGTAGCTTCGCTTAGAAGGCACAGGATTTCCCCATTCAGTTTAGCTCAGTTCGGTTCAGTTATTGCCTTCGCACACACACATATATCTATTTATATATATATATAAAAGAAGAAAAACTTTTTCGATTTAAGCAATTTGTATATATTTAGGTATATAACATAGAGTGCTGGTATGCTAACACTGTCTGCCAATACTAGAGTCGAGCGAGAGACAGAGCGACAGAGAGAGAAAGAGAGAGCGCTCTGCTCTCTGAATACCGCTCAGTCCAAGTTCTAAAACAACAAAATGAAAGGACGGCCGAACAAAAGGGAGCAGCGTAGCAAAGAGCGTTCAAAATAAATGCAAATTTATATCGTGGAAAAGTTTTCAATTTGTTTTTACATTTTCTTTCATTCGTCGTCGTCGTCGTCATCGCCGGCAACAACCTGCAATGAGCGCGTCCGGCCACGCCCCCATCCGATGCCAGATACCGCCGCCCGCTAAGCATTTTGTATTTTGCCAGCACACAATTTGGGCCATTTTTGTGCCATAATTAACGTGCCGCCAGCGCCCGCGGCCACGGCCGCCACATTTGCCATCACATCCTTAAGGAGAGGGAGAGGCCGTTGACGCTGCCGGTCCAAGGACGCTCACATTCTCCCAGCTACACTATCTATCCAAAAATAATCTATAAAGATGCTAGCGAGCACTGTGAAAAATATTTACCTATACAAAAAGCAAAAGCCATCCATCATAAAAGAAATCTTGAGTGGGCATCTAGCAGCATCAATCAATTGATTAGCAATATTTTCTAATAATAAAACTTTAGAATGTAATAAAAAATATTTCTATTTTAATAAATTTATTTATTCATACATTTAGAATTTATATTCAGCAAATTCAAACCATTTTTTTTTTTATAAAAATTTTTTGAAAAATATGTAAAATATATTTTTAATGGTTTTCAAGTAAGATAATATTTAAACACAAAAAAGTTTTGGACTTTTTCTCTATGTTATTCTAGAACCTCCTGCTTCAATCATCAGCCGACTTCGCCTAGAATTACTCATTTAACTATAGCCAGCTGTTTAGGAAAACCCTAAATTTCATTAATAAATAAATAGTTAACTTATGTATTTGCTATATTATTCCGAAAAAGGTCTATATTGTAATATATTCTTTATTGATTATTTATTTTTATTAAAAATATTTTCCTAATTCTAAAATAATATTTTCTGTTTAATAATATTTTATATTGCTTAAAATATATTTAGTCAATGCTGACACTATTTTTTATATTATTCTATTTCATATTTTTCAAAAAAATATTTTCTTTATACTTACATTTTAAATTCCTTCTAAAATAATTTTCTAAAAATATTTACACTTTTTTGACTTTTTTTGCAGTGTTTTGTCTAGAGTCGCCAATTTTTTTCTCTGAGTGAATGTTAAGGCCAACAGTGGCAGTGGCAGTGGCAGCTGAGCAGGAGCCACGCCAACCAAATGCCGCAATCAAGTTATTATTAAGTTTTTCTATTTATCCAACATAATTCATAATTTGTTTACAAAGCGTATAATAATATTAACGTCTTGTCCTGGCTGGGCCAGAACTTCGCTTGAACATTCCTTTAGCCGTTAGATATACTTGCTATTGTTCATATTTTCCGTTACCGATGCTCTGCTTCTTCTACTTCTTTTGCTTCTTCTTCTTTGCTGTTGCTGTTGCTGTCGTTGTTCTTCTTGAATTTTTAGCTGTCAACGTGGCCAGATAATCAGCAACACAGTCGAGACTAGCCTGGACTTTTGCAGTTGCTGTTGCGGCTGCTGGTGCTACTGGTGCTGCTGCTACTTCTTCTTCTTCGACTTCCACTTTTTTCTTCTCGTTCTTCTTCTTCTTCGTGTTGTCGCTGACAGCATCGTAATCCCATTAGAGCGCTACACGGCGCTACGGCGGCACAGCCAACGGCTCGTTAACTGGAAGTTGGAGCCGAGCCTGCTTAACTGGCGGCCGTTGTCTAAAATCGCATTAGCCAAACGAACGCATTTTCCATAGTGACAGCGTTTAATATTATTTCTTACGTTTTTCTAGCTTTTTTCTTGTTCTTCTCTTCTTTTTTTTCTTGCGTGCATTTTTTATTTATGCGGCTTGAATTTCCGGCAGCTAATTTTTTTTAGGTCTGTTCGCTGAGCACTTTTCCGCTTCCACTTTACATTTGACACTTTGGCTAAAGTGCACACGGTTGAGTAGTTTACGCGGCTGAGCTGTAAAATCCGTTGAGCAAACAAACAAACATACATATATATATATTTGTATATATATATAATACATAATATATATATAAAAATACATGAGCAATGCGTTGGGCCAAATGAGCAACAGCATCCAGCTTCCCTGGAACCCCGCAACCCCGCAGCCGTCATCCAGTTTATGCAAAAGGGAATTAAGTTAATTGAGAGACGGCAAGGCGAGGCAGCCAGGCAACGACTACGGCCGTAGACGGAGCCGTGCTATAATTGCGCATAAAAATGAAGCGATTTATATGCGCGTATTTTTAATGTTTCATAATTGGGTAAGCTCACTAGAATGGGGTCTAGCTAGGTGGCTCGATAAGGACCCCACGGAGGTCGGCCAGGGTCTATAGCTTATGGGGTTACAGTTCACAGTTCGCAGTTCGCAGCTAGCAGCTCACAGCTCGCAGTTCGCAGTTCACGGTTCACAGTTCTTACGGCTATGCGAACTGCTCAGCGGATGCCTCTGCGGTTGTCTCTGCGTCACAT